TGTTTTATCTTTTTAAATATGAATTAATAACTAATTATTATTAATTATTAGTCAGAAAAAGTCACAACAATGGGCTTTCAGATCATCAAGACACTTTTGGAAAGGACTCAAACCAGCCAATGAAGCAACAAGTATCAGTGTGACAGACAGCAAGCTATTGCTTTGTTTAGAGAGCAACATGTTCAGCTATGCCTCGTTCTTCATCACTAGTGACACCAGCATTACTAGCTTTGTTTGTGAGAAGTGTAAGTTAGTCTCTGTCTTGATGGAGAAGATTATGCAGTTAGAGGTGCATCCGGAAATCAGAAAAGAGCAGGGCTAGTCAGCAGGGCTCAGACTTGCTGTTAGAAACTATAGATGCCTCAGGGAGAGTTAGCACACCCTTACCTCTGGGAGCAGAGCCCTCACAGTGGGCAAATGAATGGTGTCTCTGCGGCATAGTCACAATGCTAAAGCTAATGCTAAAGCTTCCCCACACAAGCAGCTCTTCTGTCCCATTCACACCTCCAAAAGGTTTGCCGGTACCAGTAGCAGTAGCAGTTAGCTGTGCACCAGGAGCCGGGGTGCCAGACAGAGGGAACCTGAAGCTGCTAGCTAGCCGTAGGTATACTAGGATAGTCCTAGTATGTACTAATGATGTTCATCTCTGGCAGTCACGAATAAATAAGAATGATAAAAGGTGTGCAAATTAGCCCAGACAACATCCGAGGTCATAAATGACTATGCCCTGGCCCCATCCCAGTTTGACAAGGCACCAAAATCTACAGCAGGTTATGGTTGCTAAACTGCTGGTTGTGCTCAGAACACAATGTGGACTGTAGATAGATGGGTAATGAGGGTAAGACTGGTCTTTCGGATTTGGGATGGTGTCCACCCCTCATTTCTTGAGGCATAGTCTTATTTCTTGAGGCATAGTCCCTCAGTGTAGGACAGTCAGTTGCTGACCAACCAGGGCTAAGGCCAGGCAGCAGATAGACAGGCTTAACCGATCGTCTGTGAGCTGCCTTGAGACGCCACAAAGGTCCCACCCAATTGAGACTTTGTCTGTTTCCTGAATCAAACAAAATTTCAGAAAAGGTTTTCAAAATTTCAAAAGGTTTTTTCTAATCTAATCAGTATCAGACTAGCCCAACCAATTTGCAAAAACAGCGACTTTGGTCCAAAACTAGGACTGCTGAATGTAAGACCTCTTACATCTAAGGCTGTCGTTGTAAATGAACTTATTAGTTATCGTGATTTTGATGCTCTGTTTCCTACAGAAGCGTGGATCAGATCTGAAGAGTACTTTGCCCGGAATGAAGCCAACCCCACAGGTTACAGTTACGTACATACCCTATGTTTATATGGCTGAGGTGGCTGCATAGTAACCATTTATACAAATGCTTTAGGCATTAATCAGAAAGCAGACTACACATTCTCTTCTTTTGAAATTCTTTTTCTTAATGTAATTGATTGAGCAGCAAATAAGACTTAATTTTTACTAATTACAATCTATAGGCCACCAAGGGCGTATTCTGAGTTCTTACAGGAATTTGCTCACTTTCTATCAAGTTTAACAACGCTTTCGAATAAAGTAATAATTGTTGGAGATTTTAATATGGTCCTTGACAAACCACAGGATACACCAAGTAAGGCATGTGTATCTGTCTTAGATTCTGCAGGTTTCACTTAAAATATAACAGGGCCCACTCATTATTGCAACCACACTCTTCACTTAATTTTAACTTCTGGTGTAAACATAGATCATTTAGCCATTCTCCCCCAGAGCACAGCAGTCTCAGATATGAAATTTGTTTTAATATTAATATATGTTAATCGCCATGCTATTGTTTAAAGTATTTTTTTGTTCTACTCTAGATAATGTGGCTCCACTAAAAAGTAAAAGAATAAGGCAAGAAAATCATGCCCCATTGTACAATTATGATACTTGAGTTTTAAAATGGACTGTCAAAAAAAACAGTGTAAATGAACCCGATTAAACAAGAAGTATTCCCATCCACCTGGAAGTATAGCTATATAGATTATAGACTTACTGCAGCACGCTCAATTTATCTCTCCTCTGTGATTGAAAATAATAATAATCCTAAATTATTATTTAGCACAGTCTCTAAATTAACCAAAATGAACCAAACAGCTACACAACTCCAGATACCATCAGCCTACAATGATTTTATGAAATTCTTCAAAAATAAAATTGAAACAATCAGGCAAAAAATTAAAAAAGCACAGTTAACCGCTACAGACCTACTGCTCTACAAAGCTAATTCAGATCTTGAGTACATTATAACTACTGCAGAGGTTGGAATCTTTTACATTGCTTCAACAAACAGAGCTGGTTAAAATGATTTCCTCCTCCTCTTCGATCAATAATAAACTCCTCTCCTAGCCTTGGTTCTATACCAAAAACTCATAAACTAGCAGTAATTAAACATTTGATTACAAAACCTAATCTTGATCTGTGTCTCTTTATACCAAAGATTTTGGTAAAAGCTGTGGTGCAACACCTAATTTCCTACTAGCATAGGGGATAGCATAGCAATATTTGATATGATAGACCATTCTATCCTACTTGACTGGCTAGAAAACATGAATAGCTCTATTTTGATTCAGATCTTACCTGACTGATCTTTATCAGTTTTTGAATGTAAACTGCGAATCTGTTCTTACGAAAGTATGGTGTTCCTCAAGGAAATTGGTGTTATAATTAATCCTGATCTGTCCTTTGATGCATATCTAAACAATATCACTAAAATATCTTCCTTTATCTTCGCAATACTAAATTAAGAAATGCACTGTCTCTACTGGATGCAGAAAAGCTAGTTTTGTTAACTCAAGGTTGGATTTGATTCATCGGTAATCATTGGTAACCTTAGTATTTCTGTCCAGTGACCCTGCTAATAAAAAAAGCATAGAAACCATTGTGTCTGTTGGTTTCTGATGGTTTTGGAATGTGTTTTGGCTTTTTAATGGGTTTATCACAGTGTAAATTATGCTAATGGTTTAACAGGTGACCAGTGGCTGATTCTAAATGCATTTGATGGTTTCCTAATGGGATCTAATGGTGTCCTACAGGAAACTAGTGGTCTCTATTGGAAATCATTAAGCCAATTCCCATTAGAAAGCAAAACCATTAGGTGTTAATGCTAATGGTTTCTAATGGTCCTCTTTCAGCAGTGGACAAGCTGGTTCATTTTTCCTTTTCTCTATATTCAATGTTTTAATTAATAAAATTAATAAATTGGGGGCTTGGACCAGGATTTTCTGTAAAGCTGTTTTGTGATAATGCCTGTTATAAAAAGCACCATAGAAATAAATGTGACTTTGAATTTGACTACAAAAAGGAAGCACTTTTTTATGGGACATTGGGGGGGGAAATTACATGGGTTGTTCTATGATGGATTTAAACCTGCCTGCCTGCAAAGTGACCTGAGATATTTTTTATGAAATTCATTTCTCATATAATTCATAGTTAGGTTAGCGTGGAACCAAAACAGAATATCCACAAAAATTCCAAAGCTTTTGTTAGGATAAAACCCACATTGGTTGTTCTTGGTGGTTTTAATACATTTTTTGTTGATATTTGGTGGGCATTTTAACAAGTCACAAATTAACAGGAGCACATGATACACTGAAAGACCCACATATATTCCTTAAACCATGTGCAATCTCACAAAAACCCTTGATTCTTTTTGAAAATGTTTATTAAACAGCAAAGCAGTCATTTTATTCAACACTTTTAGTCAGCTCTGGACTTCTTAGTGCAATTATGAGGCTGAATAATTAAAGCTGAAAAAGTCAGATAACTCTATTGTAATCACGGATACCGGCTGCTAAGGAGGGGGAAAGTATGTTTCTCAGATCATCATTAACCAGTGTCAATTATGTGGTAAATGATGTCACTCGTGAGAAAAAACTGTTTATTTAATAACTTATTTAATAACTAGCTCCACAGGGCTGTGTACTCTCACCATTGCCCTTCTCACTGTACACAAATAACTGTACCCCCACAGACCCCTCAGTCAAAATTATGCAGATGACACTACATTGATTGGTCTCATCCGTGATGGTGACGAGTTTGCTTACATAAGGGTGGTTGATCAGGTGGTCCTTCAGAGCAGCCACAACAACCTGGTGCTGAATACAGTGAAAACAGTAGAGATGACAGTGGACTTCAGGAGAAGACCTCCAACCCTGCCAGCACTCACCTTCCCGGACAGAACTGTGATGGCAGTGGAATCCTGCAAGTTCTTAGGCACAAAAATCAACAGGGACCTGAAGTGGGAGAGAGCCCAGCAAAGGATGTACTTCCTCCATCAACTGAGGAAGTTAAACCTGCCCCAGATGCTGACATGGTTTTACACAACCATCACAGAGTCTGTCATCACCACATCCATCACAGTGTGGGGTAGCTCTACCACCAGACACGACCTCCACAGACTGCAGCACAAAGCATCTTCACACAAGCCATCACTCCCTTGACCAGCTAAAAATATTACACATGCACAAATATTCCAACTACACTAATTAAATATATATTGGTATATAGTATACATAGCATATAGTAACACTAGAGCACCAAACATTTGTTATTTGTTAACATTTGTTACAATGTAAAGCTTTTTTGGTGCTATTTAGAACCAATTTTTTTTTTTGAATATCATTTGAAAACACATGCTACTCTTTTTGTTATGTCATGATGAACGTACCAATAGAAATGGTCCAAAATTAGAAAAAATATTTTCACATTACCTGATGATAGCATTACCTGATGATTTTTTACCATCTCCTGTAAGGCTTTATTTCGACAGTGACAATATTACAATACTTAGATGAATATGAAATCAAATGAGAGGAAGGTATACATTACCAGGTAAGCATTTGTATTATTTAAGCATGTTAATTACAAAAATAACACCTACTCCTAACACTACATTGAAGATTGTGTAGGTAATGATGAATAGTTTCTCACACAAATTCATACACACAAAAGCACAACCATCCAGAAATGATTCTCCCTTTTTATTATGTGAATTTTTATTTTATATAAACATATAAAACCATTTTCAAGAGATAATGTAAAGGTATATCTCTGTATAGGTTTTATACACAGGTTTCTGCAGTGTTTGGTATGGTAGTAGTATCTACACAGCCACATAGTTTGATAGCAAGAGCAAAAATTTTGTTCTCATGTTTATCTAGTCAGCATTACATGAGCAGTGGATACTACATTTTTTTTTTAACAATTAACTCTTCAAAACTTTGGGGAGAAAATCTTCACTCTAAGAAAAGACTAATGATATTCAATCTATTGTTTAAGTACATACTAAAGGAAACCAAAACCTGTGAAATATACACTAATGCTCACAGTGCACATAGACCAATCTAATCAAAACTAAACTTATCGGCTAATGTTTGAAAGATGAAAGAATAAAACATAGCTTACTTAAAAGAAGGACAAGCAAAAAGAGAAATCTGGGTACTTTTTAAGAATGCACTTATAGTTTGCTGATGTCTTTGCCCCATCAACAGAGGTAGAAGCTGAAAATTTGGCACGGAAACACTGCTGCTCCACAGTGGGAATACAGTATTCTCGACATACAGGATTGAGCGCCCTGCATATAATTAACAAGTGAAGAAGCAAAAGACTGGGGGCAGATTTACTAATATTTGCACAAGTGCAACTATTTTACAAAAACTACTAACACAGTCAAATTTATGCAATGTATCAGACAGGTGTGCAGCAAGACACCGACCAACTAACATCCCCTGTGTATGTGGAGCACACAAGCCAAAAACAACAGAAATTTCCTTTTCACCTCTTTCCAGAAGGCATAAGTGGGCAAAAAGAGGGCAATACAGATGATCCAGCAGGAGTATGAAACAAGTCATCTGTGTTCATGCACATCAGATCCACTAACAATGTTTTAAATGTAGTCATCATCCACAGGTTCCCCATGCATGTCACAGTAGTGAATGAATATGACAACCACACGTTGGAACACACCTAGCCGCATCTGACGCCGCTCTGAGATCTCCTCACCAATCGTCTCCATGCAGATATCAGCTGAAAGCTGGCCCTTACGTCGTGGGGCATAGATGGTGGCTGGAGAAGAGAACAATAATGACATAAAAATTTTAAAGTATAAATATGTATTTTCACAATCAAATCAGGTTGTTTTTCATCATTTGATAACAGCAGCGTCCCTTACCACAGTATGAACATTTCATGATAAATGGACAAATTTAAAATGACAAAAAATCTTAATTTAATTTACATGAAAATTAAGCACATTTTACAAAATCACTTACAAAAGCCATTAAGCTCATCATATCGATCCAGTCATTTACACTGTCATTCAGCAGACACCCTTATCCAGGGCAACTTCAACACATTCAAACAGCATATGCCAAAGCAACACAAAGTGCCCAAAGATAAGCCAAGAGTCTACGACAAGAGCCATACCGTAGCTTAATCTAGTTTAAGAAACGGAAATGTGTACAACAGTACTTCATAGTTTTATATCATAACTTATTACTGTACAACTGTACATTGGAACGTGTATATTGTGTATGTGTGTATAGAGTTGGTGTTTATATATTTCTTTCTTCTTACATTTTTTTTGGTATTAATTCTACAAGGGGGCTACGCACCTAAGATTTTCACTTACCTTGCACCTGTGATGTGACAAACGTGATTTCATTTGATTTTGATTTGAAACACAAAAGTGTAGACACTGAGGAGAATTTTTTTTTTATTATTAACACACAAGTGCAGAGGACTGAAGAGAAATAACATGGTGAATACTGTGAATGAGTGCAATGAAGTGTTAACCATGGTACTGCCTGCAGAAATTACTTTTCTTTTTCTGTAAAGCTGCTTTGTGACAATGCCTGCTGTGAAAAGCGCTTCATAAATAAACTTTGACTTGACTTGACACAGGCAGGAAAATGAAATAAACCTCTGAGTAAATAAGCTAGGTTGCTATACTGGCTATGCTAGTTACTTAGAGTTTGCTAGTAGCTAACATTACCTATACTAGTTACTTGCTTTCGATCTTGACAACACCACAAAGTAAACTGAAGTTGTTAGCTCACTATCAAACTTTTAATTTAAGCTTATCTGACTTCAACTGTCAAAGTAAATAAAATCACACAACATGGCTAGCTACTTACAGGCCTGCCCAATATTGGTTTGCCCAAGGTTTTGTCCCAAGTGAAATGCGTAGAGCAAACTAACGACTCTGATGTGGGAGCTAAAGTTGGCTTCCTATTTGCCATCTTGTTTTGCAAATTTTCCGTTCCAACTTAATACTGCAGTTACATTCAAGTGACTGCACAAAGCTGCTGCATATGAAGGGGGAATGGAAAATTCAATTACGAAGATGGCAAATATAAAGTCAACTTAAACCTCATTTAAAGATGAGAAGGTGGTCGGTGGAAAGAAGTAGAGCTGGTGATCAGTCAACCTTTTGACTCAGAAATACACTGAGGGTGACCCTCATTTGCAATGTATCCAAGCATGACAAGAGAGATGATATGCAATTAAAAAAGTAAAAATGAAGTTTAACCAACTAAGTAAAATTAACTTAAATGACTAATTAAAATCAAGAAAAAATAAGAGCAAAAGAAAGGTAAAGCTGCCTACTAAAGAAATAATTCTGGATCCAGTTTGTAGTCTCAACAAACTAATATTTGGAAGGTTCTTAAAAGCAGGGGACGATCAACGGATGATCTATGGTAGTAAACAAAATTTAGAACGGGCGTGGAAGCAGATATAACGCTATGATATTCTCTAAAAGACAGGACAAAGTTTGCATAAAGAAACCACTTGAGTTAAGCAAGACAATTCAGATACTGATCTATAATTATTAGCACCTGATGCCTAACTTCCTTTTTATGATGAAATGACATGAGCTACTCCCCAGATAACTTTAATTCTGCATGACAAAAAAAAAGAAAAATTGTAGGTTATATGTTGTAAAATGAGAAGTCATGTTAGTGTATTACCGTTTTTTGAAATAGCTTGGTGGAAACGCTGCTGTTTTCTCCACTCTAATCTTGCTAGTATGTAGCTGTTTTTTTACATTTTTAATTAGCTGTATATTAATCGCAATAAATACAGACAAATACAGAACCACAGACTTTCTGAGGCCACTTCTATCATTGGGTCCTTAAGACACATTTGGAAAAAACTCAAATTGGCCAACGAAGTAATGCAAGTATCAGTGTGGCAGACCACAAACTGTTGCTTTGACAGCAGCATTACTAGCTTTGTTTGTGAGAAATGTAATTTGCATCCTGAAATTAGAAAAAGAGCAGGGCTACTCAGCGTTCAAATTTGCTGTTAGGAGCTCTGGGTGCCTCAAGAAGAGGTAACATGGCCACGTGTTAACTCGCTCTCACAGCAGGACGTACAGGTGCGTAGTCTAAAAGCTTCCCTGCTAAAGCTTCCCCATGCAAGCACCACTTCACGTCTCCCATTCACATGTCCAATAGATTTACACCACTCAGTGAGACACCCTCTGAAGTCGTTTAAATGGCCTGTTGAAAGAGCTCTGGTTATTATATTTTATGGCACTTGAAAACAGCTTTTACTTTAGGGGCACCAGTAGCAGTTAGCTGTGTACCAGGAGCCGGGGTGCTGGACATTCTGGGGAACCTGAAGCTGTTTGCTAGCTATTTGCTAGCTGTGATTATTTTAGGATAGTCATTCATGTAGGTACTAACGATGTCTGTCTGCAGCAGCCAGAAATAACTAAAGATAACATTAAAAAGTAAGTTAGCCCAAACGATGTCCAATGCTGTAATATGGATTGGGCCCATCCCAGTTCGATGTGACACAGAAATTTACAGAAGTTTATGGTCACTAAACTGCTGGTTGTCCAAGTGGTGTTTATCATGGATTATTATCTATTTCAGGCCTTTTACGCTTTTAGGCATTAATCAGAAAGCAGGCTACAAATTCTCTTTTCTTAACGTAAGTAATCGAGGAACAAATAAAAATTCATCTTCACTAAATACAATCTACAGGCCACCAGGGCCGAATTCTGAGTTCTTACAGGGATGTTCTCTCAAATAAAGTAACAATTGTCACAGATTTTACATTGACATACCATGGGATCCACAAGTAAAAAAAATATTAAATCAAAAACTCAAGTCCTTAGCAATGCATTGCAAAAACAAACAAAAAAATAAACCAGCTGGATCTCACCGGAAATGACAGGCCTATCCCCAAGCTTCTTCAAGATCCCTGAGGGTTAATCCACTTTTCTTAGAAATTTGCCTCTTCCACAGGTCTGCCAGTTCATAAGTAGGCCTTATGTGGAAAAGTTGGTGGCTTTTGTTTGTTGATCCCTTGAGTACCCAAAAAACACACTTTCACCAAACTCAAACTCAAAACAAACTTTCCTCTTTCTTGCACTGCCATCTTCTCTCTCCCTTTAACCAGGAAATGCTCCTCCTGTAGTTCCTTCCCAGGAGCTCCGCCCCTTGCATTTTCCAGGAAGGCTCTTAAAGGAACAGTGCTATGATGGTTCAGCAAACAAATTTATTCTGATCCCCTTTTTAATACCTGACTGCAAATAGCAAAACTATAAACCTATAAAACACCTTTCATGTGGCTATGTCACACCATGGCGCAATGATTATACTCGCACTTTAAAACAGACTCTCAGACAATTAGAGCGGCACCTGACTAAACTAGAATTATTCCAATCCACCTGGAAGGATAGCCTTATAGACTACAGAACAGCACTTACTGCAGCACGCTCAACCTCTCTCTCCAGTTGCTAAACTCCCAGATACCATCAGCCTACAGAAGCAATGATTTTATGAATTTTTTCAATAATAAAATTTAATCGATCAGGCAAAACTGCTACACATCTGCTGCCCTACAAAGCCAATTCAGATCTTGTGTACAGTGTAACTACTGCAGAGAGGTTAGAATCCTTCACCTTACTTCAGCAAACAGCTGATTAAAATTATTTCCTCTGTCGTTTGAAGTACATATAAAACTCTGCTGCTCATCTCCTCACTTACTACCATATTCAGTTCAAGATGCTTCTTTTCACCTACAAAGTTCTCAACAATCTTGCTCCTTCCTATCTCTCTGACCTTCTCCAATACTACAAGCCTATGCGCACTCTCCGTTCTTCTACCGCTGGTCTGCTCACCATTCCCTTCTCTAAACACAATAGCTTTGGTGATCGGGCATTTTCCAGAGTAGCTCTGCTGAAAACTATTTTGACAACCCTCTGTAGATGCTTTGAAGATGCTCAATCTGTCTTTAACTAACATTCAACTAAATATCTATTACACGCAGTAATAGAAGTACTTAATAGAAGTACTTCAATACTTGAAGTTGAGTGCCAAAGATTCTATTAAATCTAACCCTACTTCTAAACCTTACGCTTACCTTGATGTTGCTGATAACCAACTATTGCCAGAAAGTTAATACTGTAAGTATCTCTAGGAGACCATCAAAATAAAGTTTGACCAAACTGATGGCTGAACATGCAAAGATACGTTTTAGCTTTACAGTAATGTTACAATACTGTTCTTAAAAGGGCATTTTCTCCCAAACAGTTAACCTGAACACTCAGTAAAACAACAATTGGAACAACACTAGTCAATGCTGAATAAACAAATGAAAGAAAAAAAACATTATGACAAAATGCTTTTCATGACAAAGTATCTTTTTTATATAAAGCTGTGTGATTTGATACTGAGAGGGAGAGAACGGTCATTTATACATTCAGCTGCAATGCCATATGTTGTCACAGGTGTTGTTAATTCCTACTCCAAAATTCTGCATATACAGTGGTGCTTGAAAGTTTGCAAACCCTTTAGAATTTTCTAGAATTCTCCATAAATTTGGCCTAAAACTTCATCAGATTTTCACATTTCAAGTCCTATGAGTAGATAAAGAGAACCAAATTAAACAAAAAGTATGTGGCAAAAGTGTTGTCAATCAATGGGATGGTAATCAGGTTTGACCAGGAACCCAGAGTAACTTCTAAGCAACTAAAGGCCTGTCTCACAGTGGCTAATGTTAATGCTCATGAGTCCACCATCAAGTGAACACTGAACAACGGGTCAAATCTTCCAAAAATATATGCTCAATTTCCTGTCATGTATATATAAGTCCTAAATTTTACATGGGAGAGTTGCACGCAGACATTCCAGACTCCTATTTGTATGCAGGCAACATTTATAAATGATGCCTCTGATCTGACTCTCAAAAGACCTGACAATCAGAAAGGGATAACATGCAGGACCAGTAAAAAATGTGGCAAAACAAAATGAGACGCTAATACAACTTTGTGTTTAAATGCTGAGTAAAGTGTTTAGGGTGATATATAGTTGCTTCTGAGCTCCAGGTTGTTTTAACGCTTGTTAAAACTGAAGCAATAAGGAACAGAGAAAATTAGCAGCAAATTACACAAAAACTATTTGAGTCTGCTAAACACTAGAAGAAATTTTTTTTTGTTATTTTGTTATTATTTTTGTTCAGCAGGACAAATGACTTGAAGCATCCTGGAATGGCTTCAAAAATATTGTTCTTGATTTATCCAAATAAAAAATATTATTAAACGTCATTGAATGTATGCTTTTTATAACCGTTTTGATGTTAAGGGGTGTGCAGAGTTAAAGATTAAAATGCTTATATGTTAATTTATTTCCAAAAAGTAAAAAAAGAAACATTAAATAAGAGGGTCACTTTTGTGCATCCAAAAGTAACCTACTTACTTTTTTTCAAAAATATTTACTATTAAAAAATTAAAGTAGATTTCAGGGGTGATCAGCATTTGTAAGCTCAACAGTAACACCACAGTGCTCACAAACTTACAGCTTTCATCATCCTCAAAGTCGTAACGGGCATAACTGTTGGGTACTGCTGCACGCAGAGAGCGAAGCCATGGAAAATCCGTGACCATTGAGTAGGGAGCGCCATCTACTACTCCTAATATAGAGAAGAGTAAGTAGTGAAGAGAAGAGAGGGTAAAACAGGGGGTGAGAACACCACCAAGGACAAAATATTAGTATAGTTTATGAAGAACAACATGGACATTTTAATTAATTAATTAATTTTATGAAGGTTTACTCTTAACAAACTGCATAATTTCCATTCACACAGGACCCTAGACTACTTCCTCTCACCCTCTACGGTATAGATGTCTCTGCCCCAAGGGTAGTTGGGATATTTTTTTACATCCGCTTCTGTTCTTGTAGCCTCCGGGAAGAATTCATACTTTATTAGTTCTCTGTTGGACAGATAAAATAACCTTAATTAAGACCTTAGACAGGAAAAGGTTGGTCGTGGGCTTATAGTCATTATAACACCAAGATTAGTGTACACAGATCATTTTCAGATCAAGTAAATAAAGACCAAATAATTATATTTCAATAGGACCAGTTACATTATCAAATAGTTCTGATCCATTTTCCAGGCCAGTAAATTCATGAAGTTCAGAACAAAAATCATTCAAATTTGCACTATAGTTCTAAATTTATAGAACTGTTTTATTTCTTGCATTATACCTACATCTCCCAGTGCTCCTTTGCACTGTTTCAGGTTAGCTGGGGTTTGGCTATGCTTGCAAAGCCCTGCAATGCATCTGCCACAAGTTTCAGTCAATATGCAGACTTGCTCTGTTGAAGGGTATGCAGGAAGCAAAGCCAGTCAGAAAGGTTAAAAAAATAAATAAAAATAGTCGGCTTCTATAGATAACCCAAACTCAAAACCACTATTATTTTTACTGAAAATAAGTGTGTTTAAAACATTTCAAGGTAGATGATTTCAAGAAGGATTTAAAGTTTGGAGTTTAAGAACAATGGATCCAGATCAGAGCTCATTTTGTCAACACTTTTTGTATCACTATAGACAGAAATTTCATCAAAAGTGGTCTGACCACCCCATTACAGACGGTTTCTATTGAGTTTAAAATCTGAAGGGCTATTGGATGGGAGTTTAAACTAATATGATGACAAATACTATTAACACAAGAGTTCTCAATAGCACTGCACTGAAATGAAAAATCCTGTCCGAAACCAGAATTCAAGACATGCCTGGTTGGAAAAAAAAAAAAGAAAGCACAAAACCAAAAGAAGCAATTTTTTTACTTTTGCTTTTAAATTAATGCAATAAATATGAAAACTATAAAGCAAGAACACATTATTTATAAAAATCTGTGTGCAATAGCACAAAACTGAGCTGACAATAAATAAAACTGTTCACATAAAATAACTTTAGTTATACTTTGCACTTTCCACTTTACTTCTGTGGTTTTGCAATATTCTGCATGTAACACACAAGCTGTGTTTCCAAGTGGTATCAAACCTGTAATGTACAAGTTCAAGAACATCATACCCTTTCTTGATATTTGGGATGAACAGTGATTATAAATCTCTTGTCTTACAACCCTCATTAAAACCACAAAATAGCTCCACTGTTTATCAGCTGCTGCTCAATTTTTTTGAATGGTCTATGCTGACCAGTGCAGGACAGCAAAAGGGAAAAAAAGGATTTTTAATCACTGTTTCTCTTTTTATTATCATTCCAATGATTTAAGATCATTTTGACACTCTGTAGGCCAGCTTACAAATGTCACTGTCTCTAACTTCACTCTCCCCTTTATAACACTGCTTTCAGGAAGCCTGTATCCACTCGGCCTGGTAATTTCCCCTCAGGGTGTTCGATGAGCCTTTGAATGGGCAAAGGATTGCACAAACAGCAGTGTCGAGTTTGGCAGCAGAATTTGCCCACAAAATATTATGATCCGATGCATTTTGTTTTTCAAACCCAAAAATTACAGCAGACAAAACTGCTTATATAGCAATAAACTACTTTAAAATGCTTATCATTTCAAAACCATAACATTTAATTTGCTGGGCATTTAGTTAGAATCTTCTCAATACATAACTGCTGATACAACTGAATTTTTGCTCTGGTAACTAGTATGCTAGAAGCTACATGGCTAACAACAACAAAAAGAAAGGCACTACACTGTGGTTTACCAATTTTATAGCCAGAAAAAGTAATTACTCACATTTTAGGTATGTTATACTCAAACATCTCAAAAGTTTGCGTGGCTAGCTGAATAGCTCACTGAAGCTACCCTGCCAAGGGTGAGTGCGTTCTCACTGTCCCCTCCTCTATTTCTCTCAGAAGTGACCACTTGTGTAACATGGGTACCTCCATGTGCTGAGTCAAAATGGGCAAGCTCAAATTTAAAATATTACCACAAGTGACAATAAGCGGTAATTAGGCCCAATTAGGCCTAATAGGCAACCACGGTGCAAAGTACAGTGTGCCAAACAAATTTAAGCCAAAATACCAAACAAGGAGTGAAATATCTAATGTAACCTGTAATTACAAAGTAATTCAGGTCAGCAAACTGAATCAAATGGCACCACTTGTTTATCTGTTTATCTTCTTAATAACATTGTAATAGATAAAGATTTTAAGTGTTTTTGAGGGTTAGAGCACCGCTGGTTCTAGTTCTAGACTAGTTCGAAAAGCATGGTTTTCAATACAAAATATGCAATTTTTATGAAATTGTAATTGCAAAATTGTTTGGCTCACTGTAGCACATTAGCTTATCATAATTATTTGACCAAAAATAAAAAACATGTACATGTAACATGTAATAATTAATTTTCATGAATAGCACCCCTAGTGGCCAAATCTTCTGAAACTTCACTGGTTGTTAGAAAATGGCTACACTGAGACACAATTCAAGATTCATGATGACTGGTCAATGTTAAGCCTATCAAAAGCCTGCTGAATGCTGACTGGCAAATTGTCCCTAGAGAGAGATTCATTTATGGTCTGTCTAATAGATACTGCATGCCAAATATCATCTTAATCAGACGTACAGATGCTGAGAAACAGTTATTTGGCACTTACAGTGCCCCTTAATGACCTATGAGTTATAGAACTTTTAATTATTAATTATTCCAGAAGGGTTAATTAGTATATGGCAGCCATACTGTTTGAAAAAGTCAAATATAATTATTGAGGTTTAGTCTCTTCTGAATTTCTTGACACCAGCTGCATGAGGATCAGGCAAAAACCATAGGACTAGTTCGCAAAAGTAGGTTTCACATATTATGCAAATTTGCAAAAAATCGGGGCAGAGCTAAATGGTCCAAATTGCAAAGTTGTTTGGCTTGAGCCAAGGAATCAGGAAAAAAAATGAGTTATGAGGCAAAACGAGTTTTGCTGCGCTATAGCGCTCCCTTTATTGTTACCTGGCTAGAGGCACACAAACTACACCTACCCACCAGGCTTGTCTCTAGGACTTATGGTCTCTTCTCTACAACACGTTTTTCAGGAGAAAAAGAATAAAGGGCATTTAAAAAGGGCCACTGTCTAAAATCACAATAATGTCCCTGAGGATCAAAATGAGGATAAAGACACCAAGCACTAATACACAAGCACTAAATTTTAACTGAAAAAATTAATTGATGCATCAATCAGTATTTTCAGAATAAAGTCACTTTGCAAAGAGTCAAGATAACGAAATCTATCTTGGTGACCATAACACTATTATTAGTATGCATGCTAAATGTATGCTTCAACTAAATTAAAAAAATTATTAGTAAGTTATATTGCTGAATCCAGCTTGGAATTATGCAATAAGGGGAAAAATCTCTCAGAATGAACTAAACAAAACAAACTGGCAATGCAAGTCTCCCTGTAAAGCCTGCAATATTCATTCAAAAGTCAGAGCTCTCGGGTTAGATTTTTCAGACCATGTCAGATGTCTTTACATATTGACGTGACAAGCACAGTCTCAAAAGAACTGGCTCCATATGGGCTGGTTACTTGAGCAACGTTCGCAGAGGTATTGCGCACAGTGCTGATCTGTACAGTGTATACATTCAGTGAAAGTACAGTGCATGCATTTAGTCAAAGGAAAGAGAAGAATATCCCTGAATATGGAGACATCAGAATAGCAAACCCAATCGTCCTCTGCGGCCTCACCCATCGTCAAAGCAAAGAAACATGGCAAGTTAAAAGAGAAAGCGGCGGAGCTCAATCTAAGAGCAGAATCATCACTGGTTTGGCTTCATCACAAGTTGAGTGACCTGAAGGGACTCAGGAGTAACGCTGTATTGCCATTTTTTATTGCTGGACAGGTAAGTTATGTTGTTCGTTAGCTAATTCCAGCACTGCCGTCTGTCTCCTTTCGTACACCAATATAAAATATACTTGGCTAACATTGACTAAACAGATATTGTACTAAATGAAGGCTTACATAAATAATGGACATGCTACTCAATTAATGCTACCCAGCAGTGGTATAAATAGTAATGTTAATTAGCTATGAGTTATCTGTGGTGAAGCAGGCCCATACCTTTCCTCTCAATTATGAAAAACAGCAATTTAGATTAAGCCGCTCAGAGAAGGGGGCCGCAGCACAACACACATTACAAAGTGTTCTTACGCACGTTTTGTGCAGTTACATTTCTACCAGATAGGTCACAAATTCCCAAAATTTGCCAAAAAGTGCAGCTTCAAGCACAGTTTAAAGCAGAAACAGGAAAAAACATTCTTAATGTGTTGATCATGTGACGCTGCATGCAGCAAGCAGCAGCAGCGGTCACATGCACGCATGAAGAAAAACGTGGTACCGCATCCCAACAGACCACTGCAGTGTTGAAAATGTGCCACCACAACAGCCCTATACACACAATGGATAAACTTGTTTTGTTTTGCACAATTTTTTGGACTGAATCGTCAAACAGGATTAAATCCATGTTAGGCCAAAGACAACAGCGATTAGTTCAATAAGATTATTTTTAAAATTGTGTGAACAAATATACTTACTGACTGATGTTAGCAACAGTGTCCATCCAGCTCCGCACACGGACCTTGTTCCGGACGTTGGGAGGGTTGCTGAACTCATGAATAAATGCAATGTGGTATGGGTAAGGACCACTGAACAGCTTTCTCTCCAGAGCCAATGAGTCAATCTGGAGAACATAAGCCATAATTACATAAGTTCAGACACTGCAACACCAACAGTTTAAGCTCTCAGTGAAAAAAATACTGTTAAATAACTAAAATATAACTGTTAAAGCACTGTATGAGAAACATAATTCTTACAAGGCTCTCCATAACAAAACTAGAGAAAGACCAAACACAACTTTTAATGAGAACAAACTCTGCATGTTTTTCTTTGGAAAATCAGTGGATCCTGACCTGCTGCATAGGACGCATGTAGACAATGCGATTTCTCTCAGGGGGTATGCGTAAAACCTGGTCTAGAACTTGTTCCATGTCCAACTTCTTGCACTGAGCATAATCAAAGCGATTCACAATGGGAGCACTCTCCACCTTTAGGTACTTCAGCACCCGGCAGCGAGTGGCTGGATAAATGGCAGAAACAATACCACATCAAAAGTTATGCTTCAGCCAAAATTCGGATTTACCCCAAACAAGCACAACAAGGCTCATATGATGGAAGACAAGTAACGGAAGCTAATAGCCATCAGTTTAGCATTGTACAAACTGATGTTGCATGGTGTTTTTACAAGCAAAAACAAAGTTAGTGTCCAGAGAAATGGTATTAAACAATCTGCTAAGGTACCTAAGACTTCTGCACAGTACTGTATACACAGAGCTGGAGGAACTTATTAGGTTTCCTACACCAAATAATATAGCTATAGCACTCAAGTCCAGGCTCAAGACCTTTTGTCACCTTGGACGCTGTATTATTTGCACTCGGACTTGTCATGGTCTCAGGGTCTGTCTGCGTCCAGCAAGATGCCATTATGTATTGAGATAAATAAAGGGTTTTTTTTGTTGATAACTATGACCCCATTTACACCTGGTCATTTCATATGACTAGTAGTCGGATTGTATCCTGACAAGATTTCATACATTTACACTTTGTAGTCAAATGTGTCTCCCATTACTCGAACTGAAATCCTAATTCTGTGTGGGACAGAGTACGCAAATCCGCTTGTTATATGGCAAGCAATTACCAATTGTTTAATAAGTTGTCTACAGTTTATTTTGCATAGTGTTTCTCCATACTGCTATTAAGCATTTCATTTCATCTGGTCCCCAACCATGTGCATTCTCCATGTTTATCTTCCTCACAGACACGGATGGTGGTGCCCAGTGACGTACTGCATGGGGAGCAGTTTCAGTTGTCCTAAGAGGGGTTTTGGTTGTCGAAAGTGTCTTGGAGAGATGGATGCATTTACAGTGCTATAATGTGTAGTCTCAGACTACCTCCTGAAGCTGTTTGAGAGATCAGATTTGTATGTTTTAAATGTGTCTTGGGTACCTTTACACTTAAATTTTATGTGCCTTGGCCTTATCCAGATATAATCCTGATACTCAAGACGCATGAAGTGACCAGGTATAAATGGGTTCTATAAGGTTAATAATAATTCTTTATTTAATAAGCAATTCCATACCTCAGTTTAATGATTTATTACCAAAGCAGACTGATTCATATTGTGTATAAACCCATACCACATTTTAGCTCGAAAGTAAAAGAGGAGAACCTTTGCTGTAATTTTTCCAGTAAGTTGTATTAGAAGATGAAGACTAATTAAGGCTTGGTCCTCAAGGGGACTCATTTTTTGGATTTTAGTCTTAAACTAGTCTAGCTTTCTTTAGGTGTCAGAATTGACTCGGTCTCCTTCTCTATTGGATTATGTCTTGACTTCGACTCAGCCCCCTTTATACTTGTTCTTGACTCTGTCTCAACTAGCCATGGTCTCAGACTTGTCTTGGACTCAAAGGTGGTCTTGACTACAGCCCTACTGCATAACATCATACTAGCTAATAAAAATGCAACAAAAAATTTTAAATTGGTCACCTTAAAGCCTAAATTTGTCTGCATATTTGTCCATTTTGATAAATAACAGTAGGCCACAAAATGTAAAAAGCCAAAAAAAGGATGTCCCCTAGAGATTACTTAATGACTTGACACAATTTGAGGCAAGTGCATGATGATTTAGTTTGCAAAAATAATGGCTATAACTTTCCATCGCTTGTTCACTAAATTACCCTTGTAGACCCAGCACACAACTAATAAAAAATTCTGACACCTCACACAACTACAGTGAGGTAATGAGAAAACTGTGCAAAATTTAATTTTTGGCCATGTGGCTTTGAACCACTGCTTACCATGAACAAACATCATTTTAGGGCAGTCCTTCAGCACCAGGTCTGTGATGCCACAGTTTGTGAGTGTAATTCCCACTAGGTTTTTGGATTTTAGCGCAAGCACCTTGAAACAAAAAAGTTAATTAAGCTTTTAAGTAAAATAAAAGCTATAGTTTCTGTAGCGTTTGTGCAGTGAGCCCACCTGTACATGGTCATCCTCGGTCACTGGGTCACTTGTGCTAGTGGACTTATCTGCTGTGCGTTTCCGTTTCACTGCAACCCGTGGCTTACTTTTGGAAAGCTCTGCATGGAAAGGTGGTGAATACACCAGTCATACTTTATAATGCATTGTTAATGTTTTTTATCCATCTTTCAGTACATTTAGTAAATCACGAACACAAACTGTGTAGCAACAGCTGAGCTATTGTCTCTGACTTCAACAAAAGATGCACTACAACCATTAAAGGTGCACTTTGTAGAACTACAAAGTGCATCTTTATAGTAAGTGGAGCTGATAAAATGGACAAAAACAGTAGATACAAGGTAGGTGGTTGGTTGGTGCAAATACGTTTTTTGTATTAAAATGCTTATACTAAATTTGATGCCTGCAACATGTTCTAAAAAAGTTGGGACATTGTACCACCTTTCCTTTTAACAGCATTCAGTGTTAAAAGTGCATGCATGGCGTAGACCAAGAGAACAGTATAGGCCTAGGGTGTAAATCTTTGAGCAAACAGAAACCAATTCAAGATTCATTGGTTTTCAATTAGATTCAAAAGCAAAAGCAAGTTTTGCTATGTATGAGTCATGTTTACACAAAAGTAAAATATAAAAAGGCATAAACTAAATGCTTTATATACAATAATCCACATCAAAGGTTGTTCTCATTATTTTAAACTGCTTTCTGCTGTTTGATGTTATGATTCTCCTGTCCTTACCTGACTCTGACACAAGGGGGACAGAGCACTGCCTGCTGCAAGCACGGGTGACCGGCCGTCTGGAAAACATGTCCCTTGACATTCTTTGTGGAGGCATCACTTCACCTTGAAGGCCTGAAGAATTTTCTCTACACCCCTCAGTGGAGCTCAGACTGCTATTGGGAGCAGTGTTGTGCCTGATCTCTGACTTTTCTGTCTGGGCTGTCTGCTCAGGGTAATGGCAGGCTGATCTGCTGCTTTCTCCATCGGATGGATGGCTGAGGGTGGTGCGACTGCTTCTCTGAGAGCCTGAGTGAGACCTGCTGCATGTGCAACATGTCCTCATTGTGCCTTCCTGCCGACCTTCTGAGCCTCCTCGTCTCTCTGGGTTTATTGACTCCTCTCTCCAGCGGATTGAGCACACACACCCACCAGTGGCGTGGCCAGCAGCCCCACTATTTCTGTCTCTACTACTATCTGCTGTTTCACTGGCTGCTTTCATGTCTGCTTTGATCTGCTCACTAGTTACCTGGCAGCCTTTCTCACAGCTGGGACACTGAGCCCCCCGTCGACGAAGTGGGGTTTTCCCTTTGCCTGTTAAAATAGAAAATTACTTGGAACAGTGACAGTCTCACATTTGTATTGTTTTTAACTGGATCACTGATACAATTACCTGTTGTAACTGATTCTTCTTCAGTACCACTTTTTTTCTGCCTGTCTCTCTCAGGGAACTGCTGGGAATGAAATGCTCCCTGGATCCTGACTGGACCCTCCTCATCCTCACTGTCAGAATCAGACACAACAACAGGAATTTTCTTCATGGTGGGCTGCACGCCACTGGGTCCTGGAAGAAAAAAATCACAAGTTAAGCAACAACAGATCATTTTAAACATGAAGCAACAATGGTCATTTTGGTCATTTTAGGTTCCATACCTGCTTGCTCTTCATCTTCTTCCCCTGGATTTGGTGCCTGACAGACCAGTGCCTGCTCCTCTGGACTGGCAGCCATTGCCTGTGGCTCAGGCTCAATATTCTCCACTGCCATGCCATCTACATCAGGAATCTCTGCATAAAATACACACACCAGTTTAAGACTTCCTTTGTAAAAGCATGTTGCGACTTTTACAACAATTAAAAGAACAGCATACCCTCAACTCTGTGGGGTGGCATATCAACATCATTGTCACGATCATGCGGAGGAATATTGGCATCATTGTTCTGGTGATTGTTATTGTTGTCATTGTCGTTGTTAGGATTCTGGTTACTAACCAGAGCAGAGGATACGCCAATACCGGTGCCCGCACTCAGACCAACACGAGCACAACCCTGAAGAAGATAAACTTTTATTCACAGTGTACAATTTACAATCATGACGGCATGTTATAATATGCAAGTATCGGTAAACAGACACTGACTGCATATGCAGCATCTTTTGCACTGATCTTACATTTAGTTATTTTGCACAGGACTTTCACAGGCTTTACCAGGAAAATGTGGTTTACGCAAGCGAGAATCTGTCTTAGTACTGGTTTTGGAATTATAAGCAAGTACACATGGATCTAAATTAAGGTAAGTAAACATGCTAAGCTTACCTTGGGGGGCTCACGGAACATCTGGTCTAAGGAGATGAACTCCAGACTGGGCAGCATTTCAATAAATTGGCTGAAGGACTCAAGTTTAACTGCATGACAGCGCACTAGTGTAAGATCCACCAATCTGCTCCAGCGAGAATGATCTAAAAGAATAACAATTTTAGTTAATAAACTTACATGCAAATGGGCACTGAGAAGACATCAGTTTAAAAATCAAATGCAATCCAATGTGTAAACAGCAACCTTTTACCACTCTAAATTAAATTACGGTTCAGTATGAAGAAACATGAAGGGATTGTCAAGCTATTAGACATGATCATTATATACGCAGTGCAGCCTGTAAAAAAAATTAGAGCGGTAGAGAAGGCCTCTAGGCAACAGGTTCCCAATCCTGGTCCTGGAGAACTCCCTGCCGTGCACATTACTGTGTTTCCCCTGCAGTAATACATTCACTTCAACTCAGAAAGAACTTGTTAATTATCTGAATAGCTGGATCAGGTGTGTTAGAGCAGAGAAAACATTAAACACGCCAGGAAGGGGGTACTCCAGGGCCAACGTTGGCAACCCTTACTCTAGGTACCTGTTGATTTAATTTCGAATAGGATGCCAAGATGCAATATATAAACAAATTTTTACGCATACAGATTTATGATTTCAAAACATGTTCATCTTCACAAGCAACAATAGCTTAGTTGAAATTGATTACAGTCTGCGCATACGTTAGCTCCATTTCCAAAAAATTAGGGACGCTGAGCAAAGAGTAAATAAAAACCGAATACAATGATGTGCAAATCATTTAAACCCTTTATGTAATTGAAAAAAGGCAACATATCAAACACTGATATGAGAAAATTAATTGTTTTTTGAAAAATACATGCCCATTTTGAATTTGATGGCAACAACAGGTTTTTTAAAAAGTTGCTGCGTCACTGTGCTGCGTCACCTCTTCTTATAAAAACACTCTGTAAGCAGTTGGGAACTAAGGAGACCAACTGCTGTAGTTTTGAAAGTGAATTGTGCAGCGCCCCTTTGGTTCAACTCTGCTATAGACGCGAATGATGTGTCTTCGTACCAAAGAACGATGACACGTCACAGTATGCAAATCAGTCAACCAACGTTACCGCCCCCTGACGACTCCCTACTCGTGCCGCACTCATAAACATGAAAGCATAGGAATCTAGAGCGAAAAGGTTCAGGAAAGGTTAATGTTACATGGCCATTGTTACTGACTGTGTCAACATTTCGTTGTACAGCCTTTCTTGAACTTTTTTTCGCTTTTCGTAGTTTCCATGTTGCTTCCCGCTGACTTCTGTTTAGTGAGAGAGCGCGGGGGAATGTAAATTTGAGGGGGAACTGAATCGGATATAACACCGGTTGCAGAACGAATTTTTGTTGAAATGGCTCTTCTTAAAATTTGGGCTGCCAACCTCTGGTGTAGACAGAGTAGAATGCACAAATCACAGGCTGCAATGTTTAAATAAAAAGAATTTAATTTAGATTGATTTTTTAATTTACTTGATTAGAGGAAAATAGATTTAGTTTTGTTATATTGTATTGCTGCTACTTTGCACATCCTTGACAGGAAAAAGACATTGGAGCATTATCTATATTTTGTATTAGCAGGAAAGCTCAAAGTTAAATGTCTCTTTGGCAAGAGATCACAACTCAATCTACAAGATAAAATATAAACATAGGCTCTTAAGTCTTTCTCTGGCAAGGTGGCACAGAAAAACTAAATTTGAACTATTATCACTGTGCTATAGAATAGAAAAATGAATTAATACCTGTGATCCAGTTGTTTGGGTTGTGAAGATGCGGGCAGTTATAGATTACTAGATATTTGATGGAAGTAAACACTTCATTAACAGTCTTCATTCCAATGTCAGTGATGATTCCTGGATTCTCTATTACGTCAGCAAGACCATATTTCACTAACTCGGTATGACTCAATTTACCTATGAAACAAAAAATCAAATAAGAGGCTGATTTTGACAGAATTGTCTGCAATAACATTGTGTTCTGTCTTGTTATACAAGCAGTGATTTTAACTATCCAAGAATCATACAATATGCATTAATTTAAAACAAGTTTATGTGTAACAATTCAAAATACAGTTACTGAGATCATTATCATCTCTATATTGTGAAGGAGAAAAAAGTGTGCTGCTTTCCCAGGTCTGGGCACAGTCCCAAACAGTCTTTTCATGAGACGAAGGGTCAACAACTTTATACACTTCTGAAGCCCAGGGACTATGATCTTTATTGCATTAATAGCTGTTACTGTAGACTGAAAAAGTAGGAACACATGCCGTGTCTTCCCTTTTTACACATGAGGAAAATTAGCTATTGCAATCAAAATTGTCTTTAGCACAACCTTTGAAAAAGTACTCACCAGAAGATGAAGATGGAAAGATGTGACAATAACATTTCAAATCATGTTGTTTTCAAAGCATTATAAAAGATACAAATAAAATTTTGTAGCTTTTTCACATGAAGACATTTTACAACGTACCACTTTTGGCAAACTTGATTAAATTAAACAGAAAAAAAGTAATTGTGGCATGTGTAAAAGTTTCGACAACCTATTAAGTTAGCACTTAGTAAGAAGTCAGATGACAGACAAAGATATCACAACTTGCAAGCATTTTTGGTAGCCAGTCTGGAGTATTTTGTTTTAGAAATTTTTACCCACTCTTCTTTGCTGAACGCTTCTAGTTCTGTGATATTCTTGGGCTGTCTTGCATACATACCATGTTGTGAGATCTACCCCTACCCACAGATTTTCAATGATGTTTAAGTCACAGGACTGTGAGGGCAAAAACGTCTGCCTGTGTTTCTTGTGCCACTGGCTGCCACCTAACCCCAGAGAATAATTCAGGGGTTCTCAACCTTTTCCACCCCAAAGCCCACCTGTTTGTAACTGTGAAGCATAGGGGCCCACAAAAGTTTACTTTTCCCTAATTGCTCACACTAAAAACCTGTGAATTAGCACCTGAAAAGATCATATCATTGATTTTCTCTCACAGGGGTAACTTTTAGGTCTCTTTAGTTCTGAGGATTTTAGCGGCTCATTTGAAATAAACCACACTCCACTCACTGGGCTTCTGGATCAGCGTCATTACAACCAACAATAATAATAATAATAATGATCCTTACATGATGTCTGCTTCTTTAACAGTAGTTTATCAAGCTGGAGAATGCCTTTATAACCTTCAGGCTGGACTCCAACACGTTACTAAATAAGCTCCAACTGGTCCAGAATGCAGCTGCTAGAGTCCTTACAATTGTATAAATCATTAAATGGCCTGACCCCACAGTATCTTAGTAAATAATTCAGTCATATACACTCCACTCACAAAATAACGGGTTGCTGACAGTTCCTAGAATTAGAAAAGCATAGCAGGTGGTCAAGCATTGTCCTACATAGCCCCGAAATTGTGGAATGATCTCCCGACCTCTGTTTGGGACTCAGGCACACACTCTACATTTAAAACTAGACTCAAAACTGCTCTATTGCACTATTGCTCTCTAACATCTCTCCATAAATGGACTTAACTTACAAATTGTTTGCCTCTCTCTTGCTCTCTCTCTCCTTATATCTTCTCTATGAGCTGATTACTGTCCCTGCTTGATCCTGATGGATAATTCTGGAACATCAAGGAGATACCAGCATCACAGGATTGTTCTCCAGCAGTTACAAGCACTAAATCTTATGACAAGATGCAATATTAACCTGTCAGTCCTACCTATAAGTCTCTCTCGCTCTCTCTCGCTCTCTCTCGCTCTCCAAAATCTCTCTCTCTCCCTTTATTTGAACCCCTGAAGGACATTTGCCTGGGAGCCTACATGGGAGCCACCAGAGCTGCTAAAGTCACCAGAGCTCCATCTCCGTTGGCTGATCTGCACCGTTTTGACCACCATGGAGCTTCACTGGTTACATCAGCAAGCGCATTGATGATGTTACTGTCTCCAAACTCATCATCACACACCCCAACCAGAAGCCACAGATGACTGCAGAGGTGCACATGCTGCTGAGAACCCGTGATAAGGCCTTCAAGTGAGGGGATAAGACAGGTCTCAGAACAGCAAGCCACACGACGCATGTGGCAGGGAATCCAGGCCATTACCAATTACAAGACATCTCCACCTGCTTGTGACAGTGATACCTCCCTTCCAGATGCGCTAAATAACTTCTATGCTTGATTTGAAGCACAGAACTGCACGAGGGCGAGGAAGACCACACCTCCTCCAAATGAACCTGGTCTCTCAACACCATCTCCATAGCCAAGAGAGCCCAGCAGCGCCTCTACTTCCTGCAGAGGCTGAAGAAAGCTCATCCTCACCATGTTCTACAGGGGGACTGTGGAGAGCATCTTGAGCAGCTGCATCATCATCTGGTTTGGGAATTGTAATGCCTCTGACCGCAAGACCTTACAGCGAATAGACATCTGAGAAGATCATCGGGGTCTCTCTCCCCTCCATCATGGACAATTACACCACACGCTGCATCCGCAAAGCCACCAACATTGTGGACGACCCCATCCATCCCTTACACTGACTTTTTTCCTCTGCTGCCCTCTGGCAGAAGGTACCGGAGCATCTGTGAAATCACTGCCAGACTCCGCAACAGCTTTGTTCCACAAGCAATCAGGTTCACAAGGACTGAACTGAAAACCACCTCACATTTTTGATGCTCTACTTGCACTGGAACATTGCTGCTAATACTGTGTTACTGTGTTCTACTCAAGTACTGTATATTTCTACCTCAGTAACTGCTGTGCTCACGTATGTCATAATCTGACTGCGTATACCCATATATCACAGCATGTTAAATATCTATGCACCTTATCCTCACTACCTAATGTTCAGAAATGAGGGCTGTGTCGGCGCTGGACTCTCCTGTCTGTTTACCGTGTCTGTCTGTTTTATTTATTATACTTATTGTATTGTTTCCAGTTTAATGTTCTGCACACTTACGTCTGCACGTTTGCACTTTGTCTGTACTGTCCATTTTGTTCCATGTTGCACCTTGTTCCTGGAGGAACATAATTTTGCTCCACTGTGTACTAGTACATGGACGGAATGACAATAAAAGCCCCTTGACTTGACTTGACACTGTACAATGCTGCGTAAATCTCTCCTCAATGCTGCTGCTGCATAAACTCAAACTATTTAATTAACCATTGCTCCACCTGTTTTTCCCCATTTTGTATTCTAATATTTTATACTAATAAGTCCTGGAGGTAGTGCAGAAACCTAACATATAATATATAACCAAAAATTAAGTACAGGTGCATATAAACAGTTTATTATTAATTTTTATTTGTAAATTATCTCAGTTATTAAAGGTTAAAAGTTTTTCCACACCAATTGCAAGGGCTTAAGGGTCTCAACAAGCAGCACACTGTGCCATAATCAAAAGAAATTCCAGAAGAAATGAGATTGTTTACTGAAATAAATAAGTCTGAAAAGAGGTACAAAGCTATTTCAAAGGTTGAGAGCCATTCTCCAAATGGGGAAAATTTGGAACAGTTGTGAATCTTCCCAGAAGAGACCAGCCTACAGAAATCCACCAAGAGCACAGCAACCACTCATCCAAGAAGTCACAAAAGAACCCAGACAAACATCTAAGAAACTGCAGACCTTGCTAGCCTCAGATAAGGTCAGTTTCCTTGATTTCACATTTCTGACAATTATGACAAACAGCAAAGTAAAAGCAGAATCTCTTGGTTTCACATCAAATAAAAGACATTCAACGACTTCTTGGATTAGCTGGCTTCCATGATTCTCCAAGCATTCAGCCCTTCTGTACGCACTTAAGATAAAAGGAGCTACGTGAGAATTTACATGAGTGCCAAAATAAGATTGAAGATGTTAAGGATGCATTAGAAAGTGCTGCAGCACCAGCACAAGAGACCACTACAAAGGAATATGGGTTATAGCTGTTGCACAAAGCCAAGGGAGCTCCCTCCAAAGTCAGAAAAAGACTATCTGGCTAGTATGTCATCCCAAGCCATCCTTCCCTCCAGATGAGCAATACCTCTTCAGAGATCGGTTTAAGCTCAGGTGTCGAAAAGGCCAGTGTAATGTGGTGTGAACATGCTTGTCCCATGGTGTGGCAGACAGTAAAGTGACTGCAAATATTGCAAGCCAATGCCTCACTGGAGCTGCGAGGAAATATGAAAAGGCCAGAATGATGATTTAGCATTACTGCCCTTATAAGGCAACTGAAAAGTCTGTCCAGAATTCAAATCACACTTGCTTTATTACTTATTGTGGCTTTTTTATACTGCAGCATGCCTACGCCACAGAATGGACGGATCTCAGTTAATAATTCCAGCAGCTCTTGCAGTCCTATGAAAACTTTCCTCTTGCAATCCTGGAAATGAAAACTTTCCAGAGGCTGTTGAATATAGAGAACTGGAAATCACAGTGATAACTGATATTATTGTTCACTGTAATATCAGTGACTATTAATCACAATCAAGCAGCAAAAGCCAAGAATATCTAAAATACTGGTCAGTCTGACAAGTAGTAGAGCACATTCATTCGTTGGGGATGATGAACTTGATGGGGCCTTTTCCCAATAGCAATAGTCACTTTTGATTACCACAGCAAGTAGATAAAACTGTTCCACACATAAACTGCCACCACTGATGTTGACAAGAGTTAAAACCAATGTTGAGAGGACCCAGGACACACTGAAGAAATATTGCAACCTACAGAAGCTCATCACCAAATAACTTTGGCAATCATGCTAAGAAGAAAAATCACATTACTTGATTAATCCAACTATGTTAGAACTGAAGTGTATACAGTACACCCTTCATTATGTTTTTTCTTTAAATTAATTTTAAATGATCCCCAAGTGCACCTGCACAATTTATACAAAAGGTATAATACTTCCATATACTAGGCTATTTCATACTTACATTGCAGTAAGAATTCATCAACATATCCCAGGTGCAAAGTCTCAAACTGAGGAAACTCAAGTTCAGCCATCTTCAGTGCCGAAAATACCCCATCTTTGGTTAATGAAGGCTGGATTCGAACTTCATGCAGCCTGGAGTACAAAATGAAAATGCCACTGTGAAATTTGCAAAAAGAAAAATTTCTATACTGCAAATACTTCCTTACCTGCGTGCAGCAGTAATGATGAGGTAGCCCAAGTCAACTTCAAGTGCATTCTTACAGGCACCAAATACAATAGTGTGCAAATTACGAAATCCCCCTAGGACATAAATGTACTAGTGTCAAAATATCTTCCATGTTACTATGCAGGATATACAGTACATGTCCAAAAGTCTTGAATCAATGTTTTCAATAATATATACACACACACAATATTATTGCAGATACATGTAAAAATTACACTATGATACTAGGTTTCAATAGGTTGTAAAAATTAAGACATTACCAAAGATCACTGATTACATAATCAATCTGTAAACTGTAAAGCTGCATAGCTTTGAGAATGAACTTGCTATAAAATTACTAACCAGAAAACCTCATATTTGAAAAGTGATCGCCAAACTCAATTTTGTGACAGTATTACTCATAAAAAACAATTACAGTTTATTACTTAAAAATTTTGCTAGATTTTGTCCATTTAACCTTGTTGTCACCAAAATAACTTAAATTGTGCATAAACCATCTGTTTTCATTTTGTTGTCTGGTTTATAACATCTCAATGTACAATATATGTTTTTATTGCTGATGATGGACCCACGGCGGCTTGGGTGTAGTTTGTCCCTGTGGTAGAAGGCTGGTCGCTCCCAGAAAGTACTCTGGTTGCTTACGTAGCCAACACCATTGTTCTCGCACGAGCCTTAGAGCCAACAGTGCTGAACTCCTGAGGGCTTTGAACTGGTTTCTGGAGGTGAAGTCTAGCAGAAGAGGAGTTAATGAAGATCTTCTCTTTCCACTACCACACTGTCGTTCCCAGCCCCGCCCATGAAGTTGGGAAATTCCGGTGTTAGCCATGGACGTACCACACCGTCTGGATGAGTAGAAGTCACCACCGGACTTGTTGGACCTGGAACTGCTGTATACGAGATGTCCTGGGCTGCATCCAAATGTGTTTTACGCTTATGGAACTCAGTTTGCTGTTCCTGGAGAGCCCTGATTTTTCGATCCAGCTGTTGTGGTTCTCTGCTCAGCGTCCAGAGCTCGCGTTCAGCAGCACCCGCCATTTTCTCAGCATCTCAACTAGAAGTAAATAAGAAAACTGTTATAAAAGTGCAGTAATTAATGAAATAGGGTAGAATTCAAATATGCAACGAAAGAAGGTAACTTGAAAGATTAAGAACAGGAGAAAAAAACTAAATAAACAGTGGACAAGCAAACACACAAATGTGCTAAACATGGGATCTGTTTAGTCAGAAATGGCATCAGAGAGTCAGAAATTCAGCCTGAGTCATGTTTTCCAGTGGATGTAATTGTAATTGCACTGTGCCATTATCATTTTGTGTCTCTATATGTAGTGAGGTGTTTGAAGGTGCTTTGTCATGGTCATGGCCAGGTAGAGGAGGCTGTGGCTGTACTTGTAAGTTTGAATCAGTGCAAGGGACAGATACATGCCTTTTAATGCTTTCATTCCAGTCCCTCTTTAGTGGACACCATCAGAAAGGAAAAAAAATTCTCTGAAATTCAGTCCTTTTAGGGTGCAGGTTCTGCCCAGGCACATATTGAGGTTGAGCGGTCAGGAAATCATGCAAGTCATGTGTTTTAAATCAGAGACAGTTGGACTGGGGAGACAGCATGTTAGCAATGATTTGCTGCCTCTATTTTGATAGTGCTGGGCTGCCAGTTTTATCCTCAAAGGGTTAGTGTGGATGCTGGTTTTAGTTCAAAAATATGAGGAGTACAGAATGACTTGTTCAACAAGTGGAATCAGGTGTGTTCCTGCTTGTCTAGCATGACTACTTGCAGCCACGCTGGCCCTTTTTAGTTAAGATTGGACACACCTGCAATAGTAGAATCATCTACCAATAGAGTGCTTGGTACAGAGTTGATGTCAGGCAAGAGTTGGCAGGCCTTGTGTCTTTGCTAGCCCACTAGACTAACCCTTTGAGGATAAAACTGACAGCCCAGCACTATCAGAACAGAGGCAGCAAATCATTGCTAACATGCTGTCTCCCCAGTCCAACTGTCTCTGATTTAAAACTCATGACTTGCATGATTTCCTGACTGCTCAACCTCAATATGTGCCTGGGCAGAACCTGCACCCTAAAAGGACTGAATTTCAGTGTATTTTGGGGGCACAGAGAATTTTTTTTCCTTTCTGATGGTGTCCACTAAAGAGGGACTGGAATGAAAGCATTAAAAGGCATGTATCTGTCCCTTGCACTGATTCAAACTTACAAGTACAGCCATAGCCTCCTCTACCTGGCCATGACCATGACAAAGCACCTTCAAACACCTCACTACATATAGAGACACAAAATGATAATGGCACAGTGCAATTACAATTACATCCACTGGAAAACATGACTCAGGCTGAATTTCTGACTCTCTGATGCCATTTCTGATCCCATGTTTAGCACATTTGTGTGTTTGCTTGTCCACTGTTTATTTAGTTTTTTTTTTCTCCTGTTCTTAATCTTTCAAGTTACCTTCTTTCGTTGCATATTTGAATTCTACCCTATTTCATTAATTACTGCACTTTTATAACAGTTTTCTTATTTACTTCTAGTTGAGATGCTGAGAAAATGGCGGGTGCTGCTGAACGCGAGCTCTGGACGCTGAGCAGAGAACCACAACAGCTGGTTCGAAAAATCAGGGCTCTCCAGGAACAGCAAACTGAGTTCCATAAGCGTAAAACACATTTGGATGCAGCCCAGGACATCTCGTATACAGCAGTTCCAGGTCCAACAAGTCCGGTGGTGACTTCTACTCATCCAGACGGTGTGGTACGTCCATGGCTAACACCGGAATTTCCCAACTTCATGGGCGGGGCTGGGAACGACAGTGTGGTAGTGGAAAGAGAAGATCTTTATTAACTCCTCTTCTGCTAGACTTCACCTCCAGAAACCGGTTCAAAGTCCTCAGGAGTTCAGCACTGTTGGCTCTAAGGATCGTGCGAGAACAATGGTGTTGGCTACATAAGCAACCAGAGTACTTTCTGGGAGCGACCAGCCTTCTACCACAGGGACAAACTACACCCAAGCCGCCGTGGGTCCATCATCCAAGAACATAGAAAAGGTACTACGCCAGGCCTGACTGGACGTAACGGTGAAACAACAGATGGGTAAGCATTATAAACAGCAGCCAGGATGGGACTTTTTATGATATAGACAATACCTCCTCGATTTCTACCGTTCCCTTCTTTCTCTGCTGTCGTAATACTAAAGATTCTGCTAGCTATAAAGAAAGATTTGTTCCAATAACATCAGAGTCATCAAACCCTGTGCAATTAATAAATTAAAAAAAACATGCACGTCAAAACTCCAAGAATTTAATTAATGTACCCTTAAAAAAAGACTAGTCCTCCCTAAACACATAGTGTAGTGGCCAGAAAATTAAAACTTGCTTTACTCAATGAAAGGTCACTGAAGAACATGTCAGATCTAATCTCTGAGATCTTATTAAAAGAGCATAAGAGTGGTTTTATGTTTCTGTCAGAAACATGGCTCAGCAAAAAAAGGCACAGCAACTCCATTTATGTGGGCAGCCCTACCCACAAGCTAGGTCACATCCTGGATCTGGTAATCACTAAATGTTTAAACACAAACATGTCCCCAATCTCTTATGATTTCTCTATTTTCGTTTAAATCAATTTAGAAGTAAGGAAGAAGTGTTACATTGACTCCAAACATGACATTCTCAAAGAGCAGATGTTCAATAGCATGGATCCTTCTGCACTAAATAATTTTAGACCAACTTTAAACCTTACTTTATTAAGTATTAGAAAAAGTTGTTTTCAAACAATTAAATGCATATATGTAAATAACTTTTTTTCTAAGACAAAGGAAAGTTTGGAATTGGTCGAATTAAGTAATTTGTGTTGTCAATAACCTCGGGCTTGGTGCTGATACACAAAATCTTTCAATTCTGGTCTTGTTGGATCTTGGTGTAGCTTTTGATACCGTTGATCACAAGATTTTAATCCACTGTCTTGTATATTGGGTAGGCCTCTCAGGCACAGTTTTAGAAGGGCTTAAATCATATATAGTTACTAGATAGTTCATGATTTCACTGGGAAATCATTTATCCAAAAATGTAACATTTCTTGTGGAGTCCCATAAGGTTTGGTTTTCTCTTTGTACACTACCTCTAGGTGAAGTCATTAAGAAACATAATATCAATTTTCATAGCTAAGCTGACAACATACAAATATACATTTCTACTCCTTCTCATAATCAAGACTGTAGACAGGCTTAGCAGCTGTGTGTCATTTTTCTCACGGATGTCACAAAATTTCCTACAACCAAATCATGAAAAAACTGAAATACTGATTCTTAGTACTGAAACTCAGAGAAAGCTGCTTTATGAGAATCTCGGTTCTTTAGTTTCATATACCAAACTTGGTGTACCAGGAAACCTGTAGCTATTTATCCTTTGAGAAATACTGCTAAAGTTCTGCCTTTTCTATCTCAGAGTGACACAGAAAAACATTCAGAAAAAAACTGCACTGACTATCTGTGTCTTTCAGGACAGATTTTTTTTTACTTTTTTTTTTAAGGACGGGATTTAGGCGTTCCCTGGGACAGAACACAAAATGTACGACACTAAAGTATTTACAACAGGATTCAGTCCTCAAAAAAGCAACCTTGTTTGTTTTACAACTGGATGAGAACACTGTGTTTGGCCTTTTACGATTAAAACTACGGGTGTACTAGCCACAGTATAAGGATCTGTTTTTAAGCTGCTGTTTTCAGACACGTTTTGGGAGATGTTCAATGCATGTTGACAAGAAATCCACATTTTCTGCAAACCTGCTCTCCTGCTCTCTTCCTTGACAAAAGAAAAGATAACCATCACCCTCTAAAAAATAAGGAAAAAAGTGGAGAGGCCTCTTTCAGTTGTTATGCCTCTAAACTGTGGAACTCAATTCCTCCTTTTCTTAGACAGTCAAGCTCAGTGCACACTTTTAAGAAACATTTAAAAATGTATCTCTTTACTCTGCATTAAATTAAAACTATGTCTCTTGGTATTTATCTTTTTAATTTAATCTGTGTCATTTTCTTATGTGATTTTAAATTAAAATTTAAATTACTTCACATAATTTCT